GGAGACCAGTCTCTCCTGTGAGAAGAGAGACAACTACAAACCAAACGCAAACTTTTATGGCTAGAAATTGTGCTGCATCAGTTTGCTCTGAATCTTGCTTCTCTTGCCAGCACTACGGGGTGGCTGTGGGCACCACCTCAGTGGCTGTGATGGGGCTGGAAGAGAGCTGGCTCCCGCTGTGTTGGCACAAGTCCTCTCCCTCTGCACCAGTGACTTGGGGCTGGTAAGCTTTGAGGAGCAGTGTCAGGCTGTCCTGCAAGTTTGGGGGCTGGCCTCCAAGTGCTCTACTGATCCATGGAAGCATCGCTCAGCATCAGGCAGCGTCACTCAAATGAGCTCGCCCCTGGACTTCGGTAAGGCTACCACAGAAGTGAGAGGGAGCCCTGACATTACCACGTTAGGCACATGCATGGGATCTGCAGGATCACAAACGGAGATTGTTGACTTTGAGAGTTAAAGGAAGGGTTATAATGGACAACTATTTGTGGCTGTATAAAAAAAAAAACCCAAACAGTACTGCTTTTGTCACTTGACTGTGTAGCTCCCAGGGCTCCTGTCTTGTTTCCTTGGTCCCACCTTGCCCTATCCACAAAACTTCCACAATTCCTGAGAAACACTGGAATCCCCATAGAGCAAGCTTGAAAGAAGACCAGGTCTGGTTACAGACTTACTGTGTAACTTCAGCTAAGGCATATCACTGTACACTTATCTCCTTTAATAGGAAAATTAGACGCCCACCTCCCCACCCCACCCCACCCCAGAAGCGTGTGCTCTCAGAGCTGTATAAACATGCACGTAATTGCTTCTCAGTGCTTGTCATATACGTGCACCATACCCAGCCATCCAGAACTTTCTTTCTAAAAGTGATTATTTTTAAAACAAAACAAATGGTTTGCCCTCAACTTCACTTTTTTCCTAGTGTGTTAACAAAAAAAAAAGGAGAAGTTTCATAGTTGCTATTACAGAAGAGACTTGCATTACATTTTCCACCACCCAGCACCCACACAGTTAGACTTTATTCACCTCAGGTACAAGAACACACATGCTGACTTTCAATACATACCTTACAATTTCTGACTCAATTAGCAAACAGCAGCTAATCACTCCCTTTGTAATGTATTAACAGCTGTCCGCCTTTCTGCATCATTGGCTTTTTCCCTTTATTCCCACTGTTTTTTAAGTGGTCATAATGAATAAATCTAGTACCTACAGCCATGGCTTCTTACTAAAAAGCTCAAGAGACAGAAAATTAATTAGAAAAATGAAAGCCTTTTTTGCATGATATCCAAACCTTGGATCCCAATCCAAACCGTCTGTAATTTAAAAAGCAGAATATACACCACAGGTATCTTGGCTGGCTGCATCAAGGGTGAAGTTTAATGGTATCTTGCTCAGAGCCAACATTAGGACATTGCCAACCATTTCCTTTATTTTAACAAGTCCCGAGCACGCACAGCATACCTAACACCCAGGTTCCCTTATGATGCCCACCCGTTTTCCAATAAAAACAATCTAAAGCCTTCTGGCTACCAAAAGGACTCCAAAAAAATGAAAACTGACTCCCTTTTTCCCTCTCATCAGCTGATTATGTTGTCCGCTCAAAGCCATCTGACTGAAATCATCCCACATTTGACAGCAGTCTTTTTTGCCCAAATAACCCCTAAATTACACCAACGGGAACATTGCCAATAAACCGTCCCTCTCCCCGCCTGAGAGGGGAAAGGACCGTGACCATCTGTCCCTGGGCTACACATGAGCTGTACCATGTCTGGTCAGCCAGCCTGCTCTGTCTCGCCTGCAGCACACCTGGCCCACAAACCTCATCCATCTGCAGCAGAGAAACCTCAGTCAGCTATTCTTCTCCACCAAACATTTCTATAGCTGAAAGCTTTGGGTGTTATGCAGTGCCAAAGGCTTCGTAGCATGGGAGTCTCTGTGGCCACCCACATTACGTTCAAATGCACAAACGAGCCAAGAAGCTTTGCATAAACAATTTGGTACAATGTGCTGAGATGCTGCTGTATTTCTGCATGACAAGTTCATTACTGTTCAGCCTCAGCTTATGCTGATGTACAGTGAAAAAGAAAAGGAAGAGAGAGAGACTCTTCACAGTTACATTAATTTCATTTTATTTAATAAAAAACAGTATCAGATTAAAAATACAAACACTTTGGGTGATTATCCAGCGTTTTCCCCTGTGTGCCTCGTAGAGCTCAAACCAACCAATGACTGGGAGAAAAAAAAAAACAAAACCCCAAAAAACAACACCAAACAATTTTGGCCGGAGCTGTAAAATAATGTTGCACCAATTAAATTACACCAAATATATTATTATACCTTTGAAATGGCTTTCAGACCAATAAATAAAAAAAAAGACAAATTCAAATAAAAAAGTCAACTTTGTATTACAAAAAAATTAAATAAAAATCACAACACTAATAATAACAATGTGCAGTCAAGTGTTTTTTTTTTTTCTTCTCTTTTAGGAATGATAACATGCCAGTAAACATGTAACATGCCAGTAACATGCCAGTAAATCCCTACATAACATTTCCAGTTTGGCAGCAAGCAGTCACTCACTCATTCACATTTGTACACAAGGAAGCAGGCCTGGGCAAAAGCCTCGGGAGATGTGAGCCTTCGGGCTTCCCTGCCTCGGCCAGCTGAGTTCCCTTCCCTTTGTCCTGAAACCTCTATAAATCCATTCAGGGTTTAGCACCAGCTCTGCAGGGTGTAAATCTGCAGCGCTGATTTACACCAGCTGAGGATCTGGCTCTTCTGCTCCAGGGCACAAGTTAAAAGCCGTGGCTGCAAAGCGCATCCTTGTTTCAGAAAGGTCATGGAGACTATGTCGACTTGTTTTAAAATGCACCACAGCAAACTTGTTAACTGAATATGCTGCAAAATGGGGTGTTGGTTTCGGATGGGCTAAAAGAGCACATGCAGGGCCTGTGAGAAGATGGGACGTCTGAATATTATACAGAGAGGTACACATCTATAGAGAAATGACCTGCAATTGCCCTTCCTGAGCAAATGGACAGCGAGCCAAATTTCACTTGACCACCTGAGAGCATACCTCTCTCATAGATTTCATGGTATTGATGCCGTTTACTCCAGGGCTAAATTTGGTCCAGTGTTTCACAATAAGAAAAGGTTCTCCATAGAGTCAGATTAACTGATTTAGGAAATTCAAGCTCATTCATCTTTGTGCTAGGCAGCCCAGTTGATTTTTACGAGGAATCGGCAGACCTAAGTACCATGATACACCGAATAAGGAATCTGCACGTGAAATAGCTCACTGCTCCACACACCAATGATTTATAGGATTATCCCCAATTTCCAGGGAATCCCCAGAAGAACTCTATTCCATTTCTCCGTGATCTCTAGGATTTTGGACACAGTGGGCTAAATTCTGCTTGCAGTTCCAGTTACAGGGTAGGAGTGAGAACAGAGCTTGCCCCATGCTCCTGTGCCCTAGGTATGCGTGTAGACGTAAGTTTTGCAGCTGTGGATCATTTGACATCATAGGCTGAAACCTGCCATTTATTCGCACCAGTGCACCTCCAAGAAAGCCAGGGGCTACGTGCTCATGGAAATGAGACTGAAATGGGCTTTAAGATTCCAGTTTGCCCAGGCCTGTCAAACACACAGTGCCTTTCTGACATAGGCTTACATTCAGGTAATCCAGTAGACCCATGTGGTACCTTTATGGGAGTTGAAGCCTTCAGTCTGGGTAGTTAGAGATGTCTGAGAACACAAACACATATCCTTCTTGTTTTTTTCAAACTGGTATCATTGCACACGCAGTACCAACTACAATATACAGAAAGAGGCCCACAATTTTATGCTAAATCTGTTATCAAATCTACCATCATCATTTCATTGCTCAATTCTTTCTGCTCCATTACTACCTACCTAGAAACATTTTCATTTGGAGAAAGGCATCTTCCCCCTAACTTTCTGACCTCTATCCATTTCCTACATGCTACAATCTTTTCCTTACCTAACATCCTGGTTGCAAACTACCTGTCACCCTCAAATACTACAAGCTAACAGCAAGGTGGCACCATTTGCTGACAGCGACTGAACTCTACACTGGAGCGTCAGTTAACCTTTGAGACCCTTTGCTAGATCCATCTTGGTCTGGGCATTCATCTGGCTGGCCATTTTGAAAGAGTCACAAATTCAACACACAGGTTGAAATGCCTTAAAAGGTCATTTAGCTGCTGACAACATTCATTCCGTCCAGTTCCCATTATCATTTCTGTGACTCTGTTCTTCCTGGTAGGAGTGGTAGTTGGAAACAATTTTAGGGTCTCCTGCTCACTGAAGAGCAATGGCTGTGGGAGGGGCCAGATCTGAATCCCTGCTCAACCACTTGTCGACATACACCTCATGAAGTTATTCTGGGGTGAGACTCTCAAATTATCTGCCCCAGAATGCATTCAGAACCTCTCAGGTCATCCTGGTGGGAGGGACCATGGTGACCACCTAGCCTGGCCTCCTGCATAATGCAAGCCAAAGATCCCCAATGTGCAACGACTGTATCCAGATCAACAACTTGAGGGGGTAATAAAGGCTCTCTTTCTAAAAGACATCCAAATTTGACTTGAAGAATTCAGCTCATCTCTTGATAAAGCTAATCTAAAATTAATAACAAACTTCTCAAAACGTGTGTCCCTCAGTCCAGTTTTAATTCTGTCTAGCTTTGACTTCGAGCCATCAAATCTCGATGCTTTCGTCTGCTAGATCCTGATGTGCTCCCATCACGTATACAAAGAACAAAGGTTTTTCTCTGGTCAGGTAGGTAATATTTTGAGGACCCAAAATTAGAGAAGTGTGAGATGGCTTTGGAGTTACTTTACTAGAGTTCAGCTAAGTAGGTACAGTCAGCTCCTTTGAAGCAAAACCTACCACTGTCAGCAAATCAGTGACCTGGCTTACTCCATCATAAAGGTACACAGAAAAACTCCCTTCCCTCCCTTTCCATCTTCCCTCTGCTAGTTGAGCTTGTTGCAGATCTCTAGGGCTTTCTTGTAGACCTGAGTCACATCATCCATGTCTGTGAGAAGGGAAAAACTACTGTCCCCCAGACGGTTGCGATAACGCTTTAGATACTGTGGCCGTGGGCGGTTCTGAAGTCCTTCGAAGTCTTGGATCTGGAGGAAATTTTCAGCAGAGACACAGCTCCGTATCCTCTGTCTGTTTGGCCTGTTCTCTTGCAAATCCAGCAAATCAAAGGAGTCACTGGACAAAATACTGTCATCACTAATCACGCTGGAAGGGCGGCTGTAACTTCGAGGTAATGCATCCCCAGGCAGGACCACTTCTTCCATGGCCTCCAGCGTTGGTGTGTCAGGGCTAATCAAAGCAGATTCAGTGCTGCTGGTAGAATACTTGCTGTTATGTTTCAAGATGCCCTTACGCCTGCAGGAATGGCTGTAAGACCCATTTCTGGATGGCTCTGTGACTCCCGGAGAAGTGTCACTGTTTACTGTCTCATCATTATTGTCCAAGAGTTCAGAAGATTCACTTCGTTCTGGAGAGGAGTAATAGCCTGACTCCCTCTGCTGAGTCTTCTTTAAGATTCCTTTTTTTGGCATTAGTGAAGACTGCTTAGTGCCATATTTCCCCGCTACCTCTCCCTCCACAACACTTTTAATGGCCACGCCAGTCCTACACAACTCTTGCTCCAGCTTAAAAGCAGAGGGTAACACTGGGCTGACCACTCCTTCAATGAAACCTGCACTGTGAGATCGATGTTCACTGTTGCTCCTTTTCTTCAGGATGCCTTTGGGTCTCTTGGAGGTGGATTTGGATGCATTTTCAGCTCCTCCTTCCTGGATGGACTGTGCAATGTCATTTTCCTTTTTTGATTTTTTCAGAGACCTTTGTCTCTCTAGTGTGACTTCAGGACCTTTGGGCTTAGAAAGGCACTTCATTTTGGTATCAGTCTCTGGTTGGAGGCCAGTAGAACGGTGATGCCAGTCAATGAACCTTGCCAGCAATGGGGACTCGGAGTCCCTCATGGCATCACAGTCACAAACACTACTCTTGTAGCCCCAGTTAACCCACCAGTGGTTGGCAATGTCTTCAATGGTTGCTCGGCGTTCAGGGTTCACCATTAGCATCCATCTGATAAGACCACGTGCATCTATGGACAAAGAAGGGAATATCAAATATTTAGAGTATGGGCATTCTTAGTTTTGTCAGTTTAAAATGGAAGTGTGAAGCCAATCAAATGAGCAAAAATAATGCTTCTTACAACAGGAGAAGTGGAAGGGGGCAAGGTCATCAGTCAATGTTGGAAAATGCATTGGAGTACTACTTCTTATCAGAAGAATATGATTCACCCTGGGAAATGTACACTGGATTATCAAAGAAATTAATATTTGTACTGTATTAATCAGTGAATAGTTCCATATTACTGAAGGAAGTCACCAATCTATTGACTCTAATAATTACAAAATTTAGAGGAAAACAAAGAGGAATTGGGATATTTTAAATGATCTACGCATTATTGCTTTTGTATTTACTTTTTCCATGAACAGTGTAGTCTTGTATATATTTTAAAGGTATACTTTCATAAAGAGAGCAAGAAGGCAGAAAATTAAAAGGGATATGATACAAGATAAATATTCATTTAAATATAATATATACATGGATGTTTAAGGCTGGAAGGAGTCACAATCAATGACCAAGACTTAGCTGGTGCTTTTCTGTCAGGTGACTGCTTAACGTGTTATCCTCTAAGCAGAAGTAAATGTGATCATAGTGGCATTAATTCAGATTTTGGCCTGCCTTCTTGGATAAGAGACTGTGTCACTCTGATCAGTCATCTTCTCTCTGTTTGTGATATACCGCAGTGTAGTTAGAGGACTGATCTGTACCGGTATGTTGTATCGGTTTACAGCTTGTCTGAACAATTCCACTTGCAATAGCTAACAGACCTTCCACTGTCATAGATCTAGTTAAAAGAGCCCGTTATAGCTTCCCCAAGGCAATAAAATCTATCTGCTACACCACTTTAATTTCAAAAGGGTTTTTGGTAAATGCTGTACCTAGATAGGAATTGATAACAGATGAAGTCAGTAGGGGAATGAGAGATTTTTTTTCTTCATCATTCTAATGTAACACCAAAACATGTTGGAAGGGGCTGGGAAAACCCTCCATTCTGAACTCCTGTCAGCTCTATACATATACATTGCCCTCACTCCTTTTTTATACCTGAGGTCTGTGTTGGCTCACGATATTCTCCACTGCTGATCTGCCTGATGAGATTTTTGTGATCGAAGCCATCAAAGGGCATCGTTCCATAAACCAGAGTGTAAAGCAATACACCAAGGGCCCAGCTGTCAACCTGAAATACAGAGAATGTGTGTGAAGCCCAGGAAAGCTGATCCCCACCCTTCTCCCTGCCATTAGCATCACAAGAACAGCATCACGTCCAGTTGTGCCTACTGATGGGCAAACCGGTATCTAACATCTGACCAACCACAGGCAAAGCAAACGAAAGCAAACAAAGGCAGCTTGAGAACTTTCAGTGTGGGAGAGACCCAAGAGAATCCACATGTGCAATAACACTAGCATTAAGACTAACCCTCAAGAACATTATAATCAAAGACATCCCCATACCACCATGGAAAAGCTGACCCTTCTTACCTCTGGGCCTCTGTAAGGTCGTCCATTAACTATTTCAGGGGAAGCATACAGTGGGCTTCCGCAAAAGGTCTGCAGAAACTTATCTTTGTGATAAAGGTTGGAGAGTCCAAAATCAGCGATCTGCAAATAGAATTGCACAAGGCATCTGCAGTATTAACAATATCTTAATGCAACAGAAAATCCTTTATCAGGAAAGACTTAGCTGTATTTGACCCTGCTGTAGGTCAGGTATCTCGACGTGGACAATCTCTCAAGTTCCCTGGCCAACCCATTATTCTACGACTTTTTGACTTTTCTCTTTAAAGATCCTCCAGAGAAGGAGAAAGGTCCTCAGGTTAAATCCTCCAGATTAGGAACAAGGATGCTTTGGTTCCATGCACAGACAGGTCACTGACTGACTGCACAACCATCAGTCGGTAACTTTATTCTGGATGAATTGCATATGCTTGCAAAGACAATCTCATAGTGGGATATACTGGGCCTGCTGTCCACTGATGACTCTTCATCTTGTACAACCATTAAAACCAAAGGAAAGCAAGCAGAAAGTACTACCGTTCTTACCGCACATATGCAAGTCAAAAGCAAAGACCTTTAAATCCAACAGGAGGAGTGAGGCAGGAGTGTCACAGGAAACGAAGCATTACAGAAGAAAGCGATTTTTAAAATCATCTGGAACTTAGCTACACTTAAGGAGGGGGAAAGTGAGGCACTCACTAACTCTTCCAGATTCAGGGACTCCAGCTGAGGAATCTGAGCTGTTAAGTACATGAGGTGTCTATCATGAGATAATAAACACAAGTCTGGTTCCTAACTTGAAACAATGGGCCCAAATCCGGCTTTCCCAACACAAACAAAACTTCCCTTGAGACTGTTGGGAATTTTGCCCATGTAGGAATTGCAGGATCAGGTCCAAATATTTTGTTTACTTCAATTCTCTGTTCTTGTTCTTACAAAACAAAGGCTGAGGATAGCAACATTAAATACTCCCACAACCTTTGCATTTCCTTTGTTTCTCTAGCACAAGGCAAGACATCTCATTTTTCACCTTGTTTAAAACCCAAACACTTCTGTTTCCCAGAGATACTTTTATTACTGCCCACTATCGACATAAGGCATACATAAAAGGCATAAAGCACAGGTATAAAAAAGGTACTACAGCTATAAGAGACAGGAGTTTTCTCTGGGTTTTCTTCACCTTATTCGGGTCTTTTCTACTACAAAGAAATTAATTCCCAATTTTCTTTCTTTACCCCCAAATATAAATATATATATATATACCTTATAAATAGATATAGATATACAGATAAAGATACATTCATTTTAGAAATCTAAACTTTTTTTAAAATATCATTTTCACAAAATTTTTAAAGTCACAGCAAATATGAGACTTCACGCTTCACCCTCTCCTATTTTGATGTTCTGCTTGTGCAGGTGTTCCACTGACAATTAGGACTCATCCTGCTCAAAGAGCAGCTGATTCCTATTCATTAATGTTAATTCATCTCACCTTGTCCATTCATAGTTTGAATTCACTCAGTCCCTCAAACAGCATATTATCAACCTACAGCAGAAAATTCAACCCTTAAATAAATGTGGTTTGTAAAATCTTCATTGTATGGCTGGGATGTCATTGAAAACAGCTGGTGTACAATTGCAGTCTGCAAACATATTCTCATGGCTCAGATTGCACTTAATTGCCTTAAATTCCACTTTCTTATCAAGTCACCCTGCCTGGCTTGCAGGAAGTTGGTTTTAAGCCTTATGAAGTGTGCCCTGTCAATCAGGGGAAGAATGGGATCATTTCAGTGTTAAAAATTCACGCCGGTCATGGAGTTTTATTTTAGTTCAGGATGCAGCTAAGACAAGGACAAACACTGCACAGTGTGATTCCTTAAGAAAATACATTTCCTTAACACCATGGAATGTATAAAATGCATGTGGATGTGCATGAATATATATATAGGAATACACATACCATTGTTCACACTAAGAAACTCTCAGACTTGGGCATTCCT